TGGCCAACAGGACACAAATTGTGTCCGCAAATGGAAAACGCTCCAGCCTAGTTGAACTATGTTGTGGTGTTCCACGGGGGACTGTTCTAGGACATGTTCTCTTTATTGTATACACTCGGCAGCTGTCAAATGTCGCATATCATCATCCAGGTTCTCACCCATTGTACTCTGATGATACCCAAATAGACTAATCTAGCCACACAACTGAAGCTGATGCTTCCATCCAAGGTATAGAGAGATGCATTTCTGATGTGAAATCATGGATGACATGTAACAAGCTGTAGATGAAGTATAAAACTGAAGCCATTCTGGTTACAACACAATACAATGACTTTCATTCACATTCTTTACCTCAGACAATAAATATCAGCAACGCCAACATCAAATTCACAGTCAGTACAAAACCTATGTGTTACTCTCGACAGTACTCTCACATTGCAACAACATCAACATATCATGAACATATGCCAGACTGCATATCTTGAACTGAGACGCATCAGCTCCATTCGCAATTATCTTTCAGTCGATGCCACTAAAATACTTGTGTGTTCCTTAGTACTTTCAAGACTGGACTATTATAACTCAATTCTATCTGTTTCGTCGTAATATCTACTCCAGAAACTTCAAAACAGAGCTTATATGATCATCTTAAAGTACCACGATCAGAGCACGCCTCTCCCCTGCTCTGTACCCTACACTGGCTATCCATAAGATCCAGAATTAAACATAAAATTTGTTTTCTGTGCTACGTTTCACTGATGGGATCCAGTCCAACATACCTATCCGACCTCACGCATGTGTATACACCAGGAAGTTACATACGCTCCTCTTCTGACACTTGTATTCTAATTCTTCCCACTATGAAATTTAATTCCTATGGACAACTTTCTTTTACATACCAGTACTCAGCAGCGTGGAACGAATTGCCCACGCAAATTAAATACAAAGACACAGTAGTCCCATTCAAGAGCGCTCTTAAAACTCGCCTATTTCATCTGCAAGAACATAAAGACCTAATGTTTCCTTACCTTAAATATTTACAGCGTGTTTTCTGTTTACTAGTTTTGTGGTGTTTGTTTTTATTTCTGTAATCATATAATTATACATGTTTTTAAGTGTTGTCAAATAATGTAAAGCACTTAGAGCTTATAAAGATTAGACGCTATACATGGTCTTCATCGTCATTATTTTCGTCGTCGTCGTCATCGTCATCATCATCAGAAGGGCAATTAAATGTGATTCACAACATGCAAATTGCAGCCAGATCATTAGGTACGACTACAAACAAATAGCCGTATTTATCATTCACCTGTAAGTCCTATAGAAATAAGAAAGGACGATTAAAGGTCAACTGTATCACAATGAAGAGATCCAATAATGAGATCATATATAAGAATGACAATGAAGTGATCCAGTAATGAGATCACATGTAAGAATCACAATGAAGTTATCCAATAATGAGATCATATGTAAGAATGACAATGAAGTGATCCAATAATGAGATCACATGTAAGAATCACAATGAAGCGATCCAATAATGAGATCACATGTAAGAATCACAATGAAGCGATCCAATAATGAGATCACATGTAAGAATCACAATGAAGCGATCCAATAATGAGATCACATGTAAGAATCACAATGAAGCGATCCAATAATATCACATGTAAGAATCATTTAAAAATATATAATTTAACAATATATGATAGAATAAATTAAACCCGAAATATCCATACGATATTTAATTTTCTCGCACTCTAGGAGACGCTTCTTTCACGACTTCTTCTGATGTATATAAATTTTTATTAGAGAGAATCTTGGGGTAACCTATGTATAATTTACTCCTCTCAAAGAATGGATAAACATGAACTGGGTGGCAATTGTAAAAGATCCTACACTGTGAGTTTGTTTGGTGCAGCATTTTCTAAAAGCGTTTTTCTTTTTTTGTTAAGATAGATAATTGACGATGTTGTGGTATTTCACGGCGTAGCAATGCTTTGAAAGACACACAGGGGTAGCCTATCCTAGCTGATCTAATAGTGTAAATCGAATCATCAACCCTTACGGTCACGAGTTTAACATCTGGACCACCGAGGCAGGTTAGCACTTTAACAGTATGAAATAAATAAAAGATGGAAATAAATAAATGATTCCAACGTTTTTATTAGCTCGAGAAATGAAAACGATTTGTTCTTTTAATGTTAAGTACAATGAGTTCCTTTTATCAGAGCAAATATTTGGCTTAGTCAAAATGGCGGGAGGTCACGGGTTCGAAACTTGGCCGAGTTATACTAACGACATAACGATACTAATAGTTGCTTATCTAGGCGCTCATCATTAAGAGGTTAGTGGTAGGACTGGTCGGCCTGGTGTCAGGATAATGTGACTGGGTGGGACATCATGCATGTCTGCGGCATGATGCCACAGTGTTTGACAACGGTATAAATTGCCACCGCAGACATCGCAGCGATATGACTGAAATTTTTTTAAAGCTGCGTTCAAATTCCAAATCAGACACACACAGACACACTGTGCCGAAAGGGGCATAACTAATGTAACTCCTTTTTCACATTGGTAAGCAAAGAAAATACCGCCAGTGCACCTTCTAAAACCAATCTAAAGTACAGGTTACTACGGGTCATGTAGGCATTCAACAACGACTATTTCAGTAATGTTTCCGAATTTGATTCTGCATACCTTTAAGTGACAGGCATTCATTTTATTTGGATTCCTACACATCCATATTCCTTTGGAAGGTCATTATTAAGATGCCCCGAGAGGTGCATACGGTAAAATCAATGTCAAAGTACGTAGACATTTTTGGACGAAATGATCCCAAAGGTGTGATCCAGTACAATCCGAATTGAATGTTGCGTGGTGTGATGTCACAGTGAAAGCTACGCATAGTCATAAACAAAATTCGTACTCCCCTCGATTGAGACGATTACACTCGAAGCGCTCTTATTTTTATCCCTGTTTAGTACATGGCAACCAATTTACAAGTCCATAGCGATAGATAATTTGCGTCTGGAAGTTTCTTGGTGACAGTTTAGAACAGCACTCATTCAATAATCAGGATTGAAAAGACTGCTTAAAAATATTAAATTTTAAAACAACGATTTATATTTCATTTAAAATGATTAAATGCTCATACATGATCTATGTGACTTGTACTATGGAGTCGTAGATCCTATTAAAAAAATCAGACATTTCAGAGGAAAAGGTTTTATAGAAATAACTGGAGTGTCAGGATTCTTCCCACGAGTTATTTTTGCTAAGAGAAGGGGAATATTATGAGTAGATATACATAGGATATATTACATAATCGCACCGTTGTTACGAAATCGCACCTATTTTTGCAACAGATATACATAGGAAATATTACATAATCGCACCTTTTTTACGAACTCGCACTTATTTTTGCAACAGATATACGTAGGAAATATTACATAAACACCTTTTTTACGAAATCGCACCTATTTTTGCAACAAAAAAAGCAAACCATTATACTGTATTTCAATTTGCCAGCAAACTTTAGATTCTAGATTCGTGGATATCCAGCCGTTCCTCCACTTCTAAGATGGCATCGGGCTCAATTTATTGTTATATTCGCAGATACTAGTCCCGTGAAAGAAGAAAATAGTCGTGGCTTCACTTAGTGTACAGAATCATGATTCGAATCCTACATTGTCGTTATATCAATTTATGTCGTATCTCTTTCATTTGAGCAGTATCAAAACTTGGCAAGACACTAAGAATTCGTGTTATGTTGAATCTGAGCATCCACTTGTTCTTCACACGTTACGAGTATTAGAAAGTTCATAAAATGTCATCATCTGCATGCTGCATTGATGCTACTGGCTATGATTGGTTAGATATGATCACGTGATTCGTTTCGGTCCAATCATCAAGCGTATATTTATTTTACAACTGGGTTGAAATGACCACGTGCATTGTTCCGGTCCAACCATCAAGCACGTATCAAATGTCGTTGGTCATAATTTGGTAGAAATAATCACGTGTTTCGTTAAGTCCAGCTATCAAGCATATATCATAACTGGGTAGAAATTGTCACCTGCATCTCTCCGATCCAATAATCAAGCATGCATCAAAAGCTGTCAGTTATAATGTAATAGAATCAATCACGTTCTTTGTTTCGCTAACCATACCGTCAGTGCACCTAAAGTATATATATATATATATATATATATATATATATATATATATATATATATATATATATATATATATATATATATATATATGTAAATGGGTAGAAATACAAGCTTTGTTCCAGTGCAACCGTCAAGCATGTGTCAAATGCTACCGGTTCTAATTTGGTAGAAATCGGTCCAACTATCAAGTGTATATTATAATTTGGTAGAAATAATCACGCGCATCGTTTCAGTCCAATTCATCAAGTGTGTATTAAGTCAAAAGGTATTATGAATTATTGAAATATATTATACATATTATTTTCAGTTTAAGAAACTAAAAATATTTGAAAGATGCATTTTAAAAGTTTAATTGCAATAAATAGGTATATGTATTGTAAGGACTATTAGGTCCTAATCCTTATTATAAACCAGTTTGTTCGTTTTTTTGTATCGATTCAGTGAATTATGATCTCAAAATTCTAGCTATTATTGTGGCCTCAAATAACTCCTATATAAAAAGCATTAAAAGCGCTATAGGAGCTGCTGCTTTAAAACTTCGAAAGTAACTTCATTAGGCTCACAAATCTCCTTTTTAAACCGTTATGAACTAAATTAGCTGAATTTTATTTCACAACTAAAATGTGCTTATGCTAGCATTTTGAAGAAAATTGTCGTAATTAGCCACTTCACACGTTCTTCCTGGCCCTATCGCAGTATCAAAGTTCATTTGCAGCACGAAAGGTATTATTCTACTGAGAAATAGCTACTTTCTCTCAATGCATCCATGATTTGTATATCTATGTACCATTTAATTTGCATCTCCGCCTAAAATTTGACTGCTCCGGTAGCTTAGGTGGTTAGAGCATCCGCTTCGGATGCGGGAAGTCGTGGGTTCGGGGCCCGTCATACCAAAGACTTAATTAAAAATGGCATTAAGAGGTTAGTGTTAGGATTGGTCGGTTCGGTGTCGGGATAACGTGACTGGGTGGGACAGCATGGTAAATGTCTACTAGACCACTATAAACTGACACACTGCAGACATCATAGAGTTTCGACTGCAAAATGTTCAAACTACGTTAACAATCCAAATCACACACACCACCTAAAATCTAAATTTACAATATTAATCTTCTGATGTTCATTCTATACTGATAAGATTAAAAATTTAGATAGCTGTTGTTTCTCAAGATTAGAATTTTTCAACCAGTCTGAGAATAGGCTGATTTAGAAGCTAAAGTCGCTTTTTAAAACGAAAATATTTTACCCAGCTATAGTTTTCTCAAGTACTGCGTGGCTTAAAGACTTTTATGTTTGCTTTTGATTTTTATTTTTTCGAATTGACTCTTACTGTTTTTGGATTGATTCCGATTATTTCGAATTGATTCATGCAACTGTTCAAGACAGCATCAAAGTAGATATACCATTATACACACAGTGGCAAAAGATCTACGCGTCTTCTAAATTATCTCCGCTATTTCAATGATCAGAAAATTTAGATCAATTGATTAATTGATTTATTAGTTTTGAATGGAAATACATAAAGGTTTATATGGTGCCGAGGATAGGGTTATATTACGTGACTAAAGCGGCCTGGTCAGGGCATAAGGTGAACCTGCACTCTTCCGGTTGCACGTTGGCATGTTAACCTCTAAGTAAACCAGGCGCAATGAAAATGATGAAATCTTTGGGGATAAAGATATGGAACAGATTTCTTTACTCGACGGATCTCATCTTGAGATTTGGTCCAATTCTTGAAGTATTCCATCTGCAGTTTCTGAAGAAATATGTCCTTATTATTGTCGAAAGAAACCTGTTCTTGCTATTGTTGTCGAACCACTCCTGTGGCCTAGCGGTTAGAGCGCGTCTGCCTTGGATGCGGGAGGTCGTGGGTCAAATCCCCTGTCGAGTCATACCAAAGACTTACAAGAATGGTACTAACAGCTTCCTCACTTGTCGATAGGCATTAAGAGGTCAGTGTTAGGAATGGTCGGCTTGGTGTCAGAATAATGTGACTGGGTGGGACATCATGCTACATGTCTGCGGCATGAAGCCCCAATGCCAGACATCACTATAAACTGCCATACTGCAAACATCATAGCGATATGACTGAAAAATTGTTATAGCTACGTTAAAAACCATAATCACATCACATCACATCACATCACATCACATCAAATCAAATCAAATCACATCACTCTTGTTGTCGAAAGAAACATATTGTTGCTATTGTTCTAATAGACTTAAAGAAAGACTTTTCAGCACATTATAGGCTATACATGTTAGCCGCTATAACCGGAGGGAGAAACATCCTGGTTAAATATCTGCAAGATTCACCGATCCACGGGTAGCTACTAGTAAACTTTCTCACACACAGACTCGAACCCATAGTGACAGAGATGAGGTGGCAAGTCACCCAGGTCTTACATCACTAGGCCACCCGGGGCTTCTACGAAACAAATTGGAAGTACTACATGTAAATACAGTTGGGGGAGTAGGATGGTCACTTGTTGGCTATTTAATAGGATTGAGCAAGTACTTATTTTTTTCCATATTCTGACTGCTCAGCTGCTCCAAATCCACAATGTACATTCCAGTCTAGTCTGACTGCTCCGCTGCTCCCACTTACATTCCAATACATTCCTGTCTAGTCTGACTGCTCCGCTGCTCCCACATACATTCCAGTACATTCCAGTCTAGTCTGACTGCTCCGCTGCTCCCACTTACATTCCAATACATTCATGTCTAGTCTGACTGCTCCGCTGCTCCCACCTACATTCCAATATATTCCTGTCTAGTCTGACTGCTCCGCTGCTCCCACATACATTCCAATACATCCCTGTCTAGTCTGACTGCTCTGACAGAGATATGTTCATTCGGGCTCCAAACCATTGCCACTTAAAGGTGTTTTGTTCTGACCAGTTTGGGTTTAAATTTTATTTTATGGAATGGAATTCAATTGATTCTTTTTCCGGGAAATATATAAGTGTTCCTACGAAATTCTTGGATAAAGACATTGAAATGTAAACGGAATTCAAAACTGAATATTTATCTATACTGTGAAGGTTACGACAGACGTCATCGCCTTTAATTTTTGAATTTCATTGGGACTTGATTCATTTAAGACACTTAAATAATAGAATTTCAATTTTGTAATTCTTGGATTAATATTTTGATTTTATTCGTCAAACCGTAAGTTCCTTTCCTCATTTTTACCTTGGTTTTCTAGGGAAATGAATTATTTGTTAAATTTTATTAAGCTTGTTGTCTCACTATTTTCTGTTAATTTTTTTATAAGAACCTAGACACATAACAACATAGTCTTCAAAAGGCGATTAAATATCAATATTATCTTTAAAATATGATTCAGTATCGATATCGCCTTTGAGAGATGATACTGCAATTCAGTATCGATATCGCCTTTGAGAGATGATGCTGCAATTCAGTATCGATATCGCCTTTGAGAGATGATGCTGCATCAATGTTTTAAAATAAATTCTGTATTATCTTTGAAAAAAGATGCAATGTAGATATAATCTTTTTCCAAGTCCTAATTGTGTTCACGCTTTTAGAAGTAAAACTGGAAATTCCTGTGTGGATGTGAGTTTGTGCGTATTTATTATTTTATTATACCTGTGTGTCTTTAATATTTCTCATCTATCCTTTTTAAGAGAGAACTTCTTTCGGATATGAAGACGACAGTCTGTTGAAGTGCACATCGAATCTAGAATCTTCACGTATCTCAGTCGGGCTGGAGGATATAAACACTTGTAAACATGCTATGAGAGAGTGGCTCTAGTCAAGCAAGTCGGATAAATAATGATGCTTTTGTTAAAGGCCTGTATTTTCAATTTATTTTTAAAGACCTACCTTGATCATACTTTGTTTAATAGAGGTGCTGAAATGCTGAGGAACTACTGCAAGGTACCCTTTTACACGGCACGAGACCACTGATAGAAGGGTATTTGTAAGTGTTACGGAACTGGAGTGGTAATTGTAGCGTCATTTGTAATCTTACTTAAATACCGTCTCTGACCGATTCACCAAGCTATATACCGTTTCTGATCATATCATTAGACTAACATACCCCTCCAGTTCCGTAACGCTTATAAATACCCTTCTATCAGTGGTCTCGCGCCGTTTAAAAGGGTGCCTTGCAATAGTTCCTCAGCATTTCAGCAGCTGATATTTAAATTCTCTGCTTTAATCTGACTTGATAAATTGAATCGATTCCTGTAAATTCTATTAAATCAAGTACGCGTTCTAAACGTTTTAAACTACGGTGCAAATAGTAGTAGTATTAGGAAATGAGGGTTTTGGCTCACCACCCCCTCCCACACCTACTCCCCCACCCCCGCCAAAACCCTCATTTCCTAATACTACTACTACGTAGACAGATATTTTGTAACCAGACAAAACAACAGGTGTTGGAATGCGATAAGCTCTGTCAACAGAAGTGACGAATTTGTTAGAACAGCGTATGTGTGGAATATGATTATTCTAAAGACGGCAAATAGGTTTTACCACAAATTTTTTATCAGATAACAGGATGAAAATTAAACTGTACATTAGAACGTTTCAGTTAACAAGGTGGAAATTAAACTAGCATTAGAATGAAAATGATATTATTTTATATCTCATTACCAATGATTAATGTTTCAACTGTTGATATTAAAAATACTTCACTATCACGACTATAGATACTAAATTTTACTTTACCGCTCACACAGCGATGGGACTCAAACAAATCTTTCATTTCTGGTTTGTTGAGAGGATATTTTTTGTTGATAAAATATACCTTTGACCGATCGAGATCAATTGTGAGTTTAGTATAGTTTTGTTGGCTAATGGGGCTGTGAAAGTTTTTAAATTCCGCTAGCAACTTTTGATACAATTGTTCGAGATAATTGAAATACACACTGTTATCAGATCTGATGAGCGAAAGTTTTAACTTGTCACGTGTTCCATTAAAACATATACCTGATGTTTCATTATTAAATTCAACTGTCAATTGTTTACCGTCCATCATTAGATATTTGATGTTACTATTGTAGCTATTTGTCATTGTCAAATTTTCAAACATTATTTTATAAGTTTAGATAAAATTTCAGTTGGAAAAGATAATGTCGAGTATAGATCTATCATCATGACAATACCCAAGGGCAAATGTATCTACCCCATTTTTACAATAGCGTTTGTCATCAAAACTATACAATCCACGTTTGATAATGACATCTGTTTCGAGTTTATGATGATTAGTTCGAATTGCCATAGCGCTCATAAAACTATCACCGCCATCAAGCGCATACCTGTAGTCATCAAATTTCATGAACTTTTTAACAAAATTATGAGGCAGACCTTTTGCTTTTTTCGTTATTTTATTATTGTCCAATAATACGGCATACATTTTACTACGTAATCCGATAAAGTATTTGATAGCGCTTGAGTTCATTTCATCTTTAAACTTACCAATAACCTTTTTATTTGTGTCGTCATGAAATTTACTGTCACGTGGATAATCGGAAAGATCAAACAGATGTCGATTATTGTACATGTCCTGATAGATGTCCTCACATTCGATTTCATATACGAGCGAATCAGTATCAGTAAACAATAATCTACTAGCCGGCCACTGATTTTTAACAAAAGTGTAATGAAAATCGTACATCAGCCACTTTGATAAATCTAACACTGCAGCTCCAACATAGATCGGCTTGTTTAGTTTTAGATTTACTTTTCTTCTTTGTATTTCAACAAGATTTTCATTAAATATTTTCATGCTCACAAAATCATCGTCTGACACAAGTTTGTTTCTGCGATTGACATCATTAACTATTTCAATATTTACGCGTTTCCTAATATTATCCATCGTCTTAACCAAAAACGGTATTGTTCATCAGTTTAAAAAAGTTTT